TATAAATCTTCAAATATTAAATATATTTATTTAATTGCAAATTAATATATAAAATTTTGTGTAATTATATTTTAATTTAAATGTATTAAGTTGGTGTATCATGCTTAATGAGATGACCAATATATATATATAAATCTATACTAGATAAATTTTAATAATATATTTTAATTTGTTATTAATATTATTTATGTCATGTATACTATACTATATGTTTTTATATAATTTATTAAAAACAAAAAGATATAATTTTCAAATAAATAAAATGCTAAAGTAAATCAAATTAAGAAAAATTTTAATTATTTTTGAAAAAACTATAGTTTATAAAGAATCTTAAAAATTATCTTTATTTTAGCGGTATGAAAGAGACTTGAATTTAATAGTAAATAATAAAATTTTTATTTTAAATTTGTGCAAATAAAAAACTGATGTAATACAGAATATTTTTTACTATAATGGTAATAATAACAGTAAATCAATTTTACCAAAGATAATATTAAATTCATTTATTATTTAATGCAATAAGATTTAAAAATTATATAATAGTACAGATTGTGTGACATATCCCCTGACCGTTACGCCATAATTACCATGCAATTATTGAAAAAAACCAATAAAAATTATCGATACTTACTAATACGCCATAATTACCAAACCATTATTAATCGAAAACTCTGATTTTAGCGATCACCCAATTAAATCAGGGCACGTGGATTACCAATACTTAAAGAGTATCGTTTTTGATTCAAATTTTATTAAATTTTATTTATTTATAACATATGAGAGTTGGAACCTGTTTTTTTTGGACCAGTCCTGAACTAGTCCCTAAAGAGTCCGGTCCAGACCCGGTCCGAACTAGTTCACCGTGGACCACTTAACATCCCTAATAAAAAAAATGCGAGTCGAATTGTTTGCTCTCATACGATGATAACAATGATGACGATGATAATATTATTACGTTCGACAGCATTACAATATATGCATTTGATCGCATTAAAGAAATAACATACTCTAAAATGACATTATCTCAAAGGTTGTTCTTTAAGCAGTTTATATGTGGAGTTTTTTTGGTGTTATCAGTTATTTATAGTATTATCAGCTATTTATGATATTAATTTTTAGACCAAAAAAATTCAGTACAAATATGATCAACATTTAATAATTATCATTCGGTTATCTGTCTTAGTCAAGGGCGAATAAACAGGTACGACAAACTCAATCTTATCTGAATGGATAGACGGCACCACTATTTTTGATCATTTCCTAATAAAAAAAATTTTCATGTGCTTTTCTAAATGTTAATTTTTGAATATAGTACTGCAAGTACTGTATACAGTCAAACCTCGATATAATCACCAGCTTGGGAAACAAGAATTTGGTGATTATAGAAAGTTGACTATATAAAGGTTAAATTTTATGTTTTATAATAGCTTGAATTAAAAAAAAAAATAGGTGATGAATTATAATTTGTGCAATAATTTAAGAAAATGACCGTCTACAAATTTGCAATCCATTTTCTTAAAAGGAAAATGCCGGGTTGACCCCGATCAAAGTCACCAAAACTATTACTAATACACAGGGGGATGTTAAAAGTTCTGCCCGGTCTGGCTCACTCAAATCAGTTGGGTCAGAAATAGACACGCTAGTTCTTAAAAAGTTTAGTATAGATCTGAAATCAAGGGGGGTTAACGGTCCTATCATATGCTAGGAATCAAGTCACGAGACATAGTAAATCATATGTTTCGTGAGATTTTCCTAAAGTACAGTGGCCGGAAGTAAATCATCGGAAATTTCATATTAACAAAATTATGTATGAATGTAAAATAATCTAAAAAAAATTTGCAATTTATTTTTAAAGAGCTATATAAAAAAATTTTGGTTTAGATCTACAAAGATTTTGTGATCTAAAAAATTCGCAACATCTCGTGATCTAGTAATCATCGAGACGATTCGAACGGTATCAAAATCATTCACGATATCAAAATTATTAAATTTCAGTCACCTATAGTGAGATATTTGCGTTTAAACAATTATTACAAAAACACAATTGTTTCGATATTTTTCAAGAGAAATTAAACGATTCAATGCCACTCGATCCGTATCGATGAGACGAAACACCTGTAGATCTTCCACAAAAAACTAATCAAAAGTTTCCCCTAAAGTGACTTAATCCTAACCCTAAAGATTTCATTACACCTGATCTTTCGATCTAATTGGATAAAAATAATGAATATAAAATTATACAGATCCAATCACTGGAACATGAGATATTCGCTCAAATATAATCTGTGGCGCAGTTTGGCATAAAATATATTATGGTTCGTGTGACCCAGTGGGATTCAACCAATTTTAGATTCATTAGAACTGTCTTATCGATATGGCATAAAATTATTTAATTTCGTTTGAAAGATATCAAGGTACAGGTCATCCTCGTTAATATCAACCTATTTGAATTGGTTTTAAATTATGTTGATAGGGATATTAATGAGAAATCATATTAAGGTTGACATATATGAGGGAATTTTGATATATAAAAATTTATAAAAATTTGCCGTGGCTTAGGTTGATATTGACGAGGGTGACCTGTAATTGTTTTTATTTTTTATAAAAATCCTTTAAATGCAACCTAGTAATTGAAGTTTAACAAATTTGACATCATTCGTTCCGTCTCATATTATACAAATTTTGTAATATATATATGTAGTAAGTGAAAACAGAATCTCCTAGTTAAATTAGGGTTAGAGCATGAGTGTTCATATGATAAAATCAACTTCGAAATGCTGGTGTCTAAAGCGGAGCAGAATCACGTGACTACTGGCCGAAGCAAGACAAGAAATAAAAACGAAACCCCAAAAAATACAGTCTAAACTTACCTCAGGTAGGTTGTCGGGAAGGCAATGTTCCAAATATGGGGTGTCTAAAGCGGGGTAGAATCACGTGACTACTGGCCGAAGCAAAACAAGAAATAAAAACGAAACCCCCAAAAATACGAAAAACGGCAGTCTAAACTTACCTCGGGTAGGTTAATTAAACATGTCGGGAAGGCAATTTTGCTTATATATAACTACATAAAACATAACCTAACCATAATATAAGATGTCCCTAAAGTCAATTCAATAAAATATATTATAAAGAATCTACTCCGCTTTAGACGTTCTCAAATATGGAAATGATTTCCATATTTTTACACAATTGATTAACAATACTTTGTTAATGACTTCAGGTAGCTTAACTTTCTAAAAACGTGAATACGTAAAATATTTTTTACTTCGCCTTATGAACTTTTTTTTTGTATTCTGAGTAATCTGATTGGTTAATTCGCAGATGACAGCCACGAAGTAAAAGCATTAATTTATTCGTAATATTTTATTCCCGTTTTTAGAAAGTTAAGCTACCCGAAAAGTATTGTAAAATGTATTAAAAAAATCGTTTCCATATTTGGAACTTCCTTACCTCGAACTTATCCGATTCCGATTCTGCTCGTACATAAGTAGCTATGGGTCGGAAACAAATTTCGAACTTAACTATCCCGTCATATGATGTCGGGGATATATAATATTCAAACACCACTTATGATTAATAATCATGATGACTAATCATCGTCGGAGTTTAAATACTATCACGCGACGCGATAATTAAGTTTCGGGATTTGACCCAATAACAACCATATAGTATAGCTTTCTTTCTTCTGATTTGTCAATCACTTACAATTGTATTTATATGGTTTAAAGTACTACAGTACTAAGAATGTAACATTTCACAAGTAAAAAATAAAAATCAAACTCATCGCTATCTTCGAAGAAGTGCCAACAGTCACTATGCAAAATAACCCAAAGAATCCCGCACCTAGAGGCATTTAAAAAGTTAAGTTTACGAATATGATTTGTGGGTTGTCACATGTTTCACAATTAGCCAATAATAGCGTGTTATTCAATTCATGTAACGACCAATCACGAGAAAGTTATTCTATATAACAACCCACTGATTTCACTGATTTTAGTCATATCTGACGATTCGTTTCGTAAAATACTCTAAAAAAAAAAAAAAAATCGTATGCAAATTTGAAAAGCGAGTAATTTTTTTTCAAACATGGATGACTAAACCTGCAGTGAAATTTGGCGATTCTGATGGTAGCGGTAGTTTTATATTCCGAAAGTCACCCGATTCTGGAACAGAAAATCTGGTGGATATCGATATGGTAAAATTAGACCCTAATATAAATAACCATTTCACTTTAGTCCGAAAATCCTTGATAGAGATAAACCTTAAACACTGTTTTACAATGGTGCCAATTAGGGAGGAAGAAAGATGTTTTCATGGCTAGCAAACGATAATATAAATATTTATGCATTAAGGTTACTTGTGTACTGCATAAGTAAATGAAGAAATTTAAGAAACCAATTCCAATTTTTTACACATCCGCACCAAAACTTGATATTTATTTCCCATGCTGTTTTACCTATTTAAGAAAATCATAAAAAAGTTTTAAATATGGAAGGATATGGAATATGAATGTTTTGCACAATTGATAAGATTGATAACGTCAGAATTACATCATAGACTACAACGTTATATAAATATCAACCGCACAATGTTGGGTTCGGGACGAAAGAACAAGTTTAGTTTTAGGGTATCTTGATTTTCATTTTTCACACATCGCGCAAACCGTTTCTTTAAGTTGACATAACAAATTGAAGCCGTCCGTTTTTTCAACAAACAGCATTCAAATAAGAGGTCGACTAGATTAAAAACTTCCCACGATAGTTGGCTCAACTTTCCCATGATTGAGCATTTCAGGAATTTCATTCGTCATGGCAAACAGGCCAATAAAAATGTTAGTACGTTTGAACATGATAATAAGGTGCCTTTTAATTCAGTAAACCCTCAAGGTTATACGGAAGAAAAGGTTGACAATTATACAGCAGTAGCACGAATAGTAGCCGAGGAACGAGAACAAAAAAACAGACTACCAAATTACCCGGGTCTGGAGAGATACCGTTTATTGGAAAAAATGGGAGAGTATGTTGGAAATCTTTATATTATTCCGCAAAATGTTAAGGATTTTTAAAGAAAATCGGCGGTTATTTGATCATTTGTCAATACCTTATGATGCGTGTGTTGACAATTGCAATAGCATTTTGTTTTCTTAAGAGACGTTCACTTTCGGGATTACAACCGTTCTTTCTTTAACACGGTCCTTAACTATTTTTATAGCGGTGCGTTTAGCAACGTCTACAAGGCAATTAACGTAGTGACGCAGGAGAAAGTTGCTATTAAAGTTGTAAGAAAACGTGAACTAAACAGTGCACAGGTAGGAAATAAACTGCTATTATGAATGGCAAAGGAATCGCGAGCAATATTTATACGACTCGACGTGCATAAGTTGAACGCTTGCACAAGATTTCTGTTATGAAAAATCTTTAATAACAACCATCTTCCAAATTTCGGCATTGTTTTCAGGAGAGGCATCTTCATCGTGATATGAAAGTAAGGCCTCGTGCAACTGAGGTACTTAATCGTTCCTGGGATGTCATATATATAAATGACTTTAAAGATAAATGCAATGCAGTTGGTCCTCAAGGTGCTTTGAGGGTTGACGTTCATAAGATCGCATTCTTTATTAACTGCGTTAGCTGTCAAGAGAATGAAACGTCAATATTAAACCCTTTGACCCCCATTGCCTTTGCCAATCAAAGAAACTGTTTAAGAGTACTCATTATTTAATAAATTTCCTTTATTTTAGCGTTCTAACATTCTCAAAGAAGTCAGAATAATGCGCCAGCTAAAACATAAATCAATCGTAGCCCTAAAATCATTTTCGGAATCTGATGATTATTATTATTTAGTTCTCGAATTGATGGAAGGTGGTGAATTATTCCATCAAATTGTGAGACTCACCTATTTTTCTGAGGAATTAGCACGACATGTTATCGTTCAAGTTGCTGAAGGAATAAGATACTTGCATGAAGAAGTAGGTGTTGTTCACAGGTAAATATTCATATAATACCTTTTTATTGTGAATTTTTTTATCTGGTTTTATTACCAAAAATTCATTTTGGAATTTTTGTGATAAGTGAATATAAAATAAATAAATAAATAAATTTAGATCACACAAAATTAATTTCTTGGTTTTTATGACCCCACCGGGTCAGCTTTTTTGTTATATATTTAATAATTTGGTAAAAAATTCACTAGGCGATTGGCGCCTGTTCTGAATTTTTTGTCATTAAAACCAAGAAATTGAATCTATATGGCTTTAAGCTAGTTTTATTTTTATTTTATTTTTATTTTAATCTTATTTTAATTTTATCGTATTTTTATTTTATACTTTTCTCTTTTGATAATATAGAGACATAAAACCTGAAAATCTTCTCTTTGAACCAATTCCTTACCGTCCCTCAAAAGAACCAAAGCCTTCTCTATTTGATGAACCAAAAGAAGACGAGGGGGAGTTCATTCCGGGTATAGGTGGTGGCGGTATTGGCAAAATTAAAATCGCTGATTTTGGCCTGTCAAAGGTTGTGTGGAATGAACAAACAATGACACCTTGCGGAACGGTTGGATATACTGCTCCTGAAATTGTCAAAGATGAACGATATAGCAAAAGTGTTGATATGTGGGCACTTGGTTGTGTCTTGTACACTTTACTTTGCGGTTTCCCTCCATTTTATGATGAAAGTATTCGTGATTTGACTGAAAAAGTCGCTAAAGGACAGTATACATTTTTAAGCCCATGGTGGGATAACATTTCTGACTCCTGTAAGTTATAATACTTTGCAAAATCCACGTCTAGCATTATTATTTAAATCAGTTAATCTCATTATATGTTATTAGCTAAGGACTTGATCTCTCACCTTCTTTCCGTTGATCCGGAAAAAAGATATACTATAAATCAATTCTTTGAGCACCCGTGGGTTAAGAATGAGGTAATAGTTTTTTACATATCACTTTGATCAGCAGGGCTCTGAGAAAAATGTCAGTGGACATTGTCCATTGGCATCTTATAAGCCACATTTTTGTCCATTGACAACCTAGTTGATCAGGGATTCTATTATCGATGAACTCGTGTTTATAAATTTGTCATGTCCAATTCGTTAATAATCCTCTTTTTTTTTTTTTTTTTACTAGCCATTTTATCTACAATCTGCAAAATCAAGGCATAAAGAGCCTCTAAAAATAAAAACTTCAGTTGATTCATCTACCGTACCAACTATATATAATGATTTGAATACACCTGGTGAAATGCCTCGACGTAAGGATGTAATTTCACCAAGTATTACTCTCAAAGAAGCGTTCGATGTAAGTTGCGCAGTTCATCGTATGGAAGAGGAAGGTGCCAAGAGAAGAAAGATCAAGATGGGTGGTGGACAGAAAGCCGGTGCTTTGAACCCGTTTAAAAATCTAACCGCAAATTTAAATGATGACGTTTCCGATGATGAAACATCTACTTCCACGTTGGAGCAAGTAATTCATACGACGGCAAAAGAGCCTATAAAGATGAAGACTGGGACAAGAAAAGGCGGTGTTATACCATCTACTTCTGCTAAACATTCTAAAGAGGGATCCAAGCGATTGAATTTTGAATTAAATATTGATAGGGCAACTCTATTAGGAAGAAGACGTAAAATTATAGCTGAACCTGTTGGCGTTTAATTTATTTATACTTATGATTTATTAATTTTTTAAAATGTGAATTTTCCAATTTACAAAACTCTTTATATTCATGTATATATAGCGTTTTCTTGTTTAGCTTTTCTTTATTATTGTTATTTTTATTGTGTCTTTACACTTGTATTTTACGATTGTTGATTTCTTTATTATTGATTTCTTTAAATACATTACAATGAACAATTTTTAAAGCAATTATTGGAGTAGGTTTATGCATACGATTGTAGGTTTGTGTTATCACAAAGCCATTGGAAGTCTAATTAATAGTTTCACTGAACTTCAGAAGTTCTGTTGGAAGGTCATTGGAAACAAAAATTGATAACACTATTGTAGGTGGATACGGAATATATATATTCATAGTCAACTTGGTTCTGAATTTCCTTAATGAATTTTAGATCCTCAAAAAAACTTATTGTTTCTAAATTTGTTTATGTAATTTATTTTGGTATTTTAAAACTCGAATATTTAAATATTTACGTAGTTAAAACTTTTTATTAATGTTTGAAAACCTTGTGATCAATTGATAGTTCGAAATTTATCGATTCCGACTTTTACAAAGAGCCACTGTAAGGCGCATATTATATATTTTATTTAGTGTTTACAATTGTAATAGAGCCTAAGTAGCATTGATAGGTTAGGGTAGTAATTTTAATTCTTAGATCAACTTATAACTATATAGTTTTTTTTTTAATTTTTAAACTAGCCTCTTTGGCTACGGTCTTGAATCAAGGGTACTTCCTGGGGTACCTGATAGTAGTAGTATATTTTACTAGGGTACAGATAGCCACTCATAGTTATTGTCTATTTAAAGATTTCGCCCGAGGGTTACCCACTACCTGCTATACCTTGTAGGTTTTCTATTTAACTAGTGATACGGGCTGACAAAAAACCAGCGGGTCGAGGGCCGATACTGGATGGGTCGACCCGGGTCGACCAGGCCGATCTTTTTACAACATATAATTTTTTTAAAATTCATTTTGGAACATAACCACTATTAGATTTTTTTTGATAATTAATGTTAAGGATTTAAATGAATTCTACAAACCAGTAGGATCATTAAACCAGCGTGATTATTAACTAGCATACATAATAGTTGGAAACAAGTTCGCCATTGATTTTATCACTGGACCTTTAATTTGCCATCTTATTTAATATAAATAAAATTTTTAAAATTTTCTTGGCATAATTTTTTGGAAACAATAATAATTTTACTTTCTTTTTTTATATATCTATATATAAAGAAATTTATAAAGATATATATATATATAACATTTTATATTTAAAAAAAAAAGGTCTATACGAGCAAATCAAATTACAAATATTTATACTTAATTTTTTTTTAGACATAAAAAAACTGTGACGAATAGATCTAGTTAGATCTAAAAAACATACTCTAAGTTATGTGCATATATATTTTTATTGATCAAAGCTTATATGATATATACAAAGAATACAAAAAAAAAAAAGAAGTACTTACAAGTTAAATTATATTTAAAAAAAAACCTTTACTCTAGCCTGGGAAAAACATTGAATAGATCTGAATTTGTTTTTAAGAACAATATGTCATGCATTGTACTTGGATCTAAGCAATTTTGTTTTTTTGTTAGAACATTACCTGCTTCAGAGAATAAATGTTCAGAGGATATAGAAGTTGCTGGAAAAGCAAGAAATTTTTAGGCTAATATTGCTAAATTTGGATAATCCTTTTGATGTGTACTTCATCAGGTAAGAGGATTGTGGATTTTGTAAAGTGGATGGTCTATATGATATTTGTTCATTTGTATTGTTTGTTCATATTATTCTAATTCATTATCTGTTGAATAATTAGTTTGATTATTATCATTAAAAAATTGATTCATTTCAGTTTGTTCTGGAATATTTATAGTATTTGTTTTTATCATTTCTGCTATTATTTCTTGAACTTTTTTTTTTTTGTTATTATAGAACATACTTTTAAAACAAGAATCTAGATAAGAGGCAATATAAGTTTTTATTAAAGGTGTTTTCTAACATTTAGTTATAGAATCCTTAATTTGATAACAAATATTAAGGATATTGAATGAAGTTAGTGACTTTTTTATTCGATACAAATGAGAAAATAGAAGGGAGATAGTAGCAAGCATTATGCCAAGAGTTGGATATTATGCTCTTTCAATTAATTTTGTTGTTTGAATAAAAGGGTCTAAAAATAAAATTAGTTCTTCTAATTCTATCTATTCTGTTTTTGAGAATAATTTATTACTTAAAGATTAATCATTCTTTTTTTGTTAAAAATCAAAATATTGATATAAAGATCTTGCAAGTTTCTTTACAGTATCTTATAATTGAATTAATCTTTTTAAAACCAAAAAAGTTAAGTTCTATTTGGTCTTCATATCACAAATAGGTTTTACAATAAATAAGTTTTTTTTTTTTTTTGTAACTGCTTAGATTATTGTCACATTTGACTGCAAATATGGCAAAGAAGAAGCAATTAGCAAAATCTAAAAAAAATACAACAATTAGTTTAGAATGATTCCAGACATAGATGAACTTAAAAGAGAGAAGATTAAGAAGAGTAAGAAGTTAAAGCAAAAAAATGAACTAACAAAAGAAAAGAAAAATAGAAAATAAACTAAAAAAAAACAGAAAACAACTTATTTAACTAAGAAAAAGAAGATGCAAACAAAGAAAATAAAGAAATACAGTAGCATTAACAGTATAAGATCTACCAAAGAAGATAACAGAATATAAAATCAAGTATCTTGTAAGAAAGATAAGTAAAGTAATAGGATGCAAAATCTGAAGAAGCATATTCAGAACAATAGCAGTAATAAAAGTAAAGAAAGAAGAAGAATAAGTATTTTTATAAATAATTCTCTTAAGAAATAGAAAGTTAGTAAGAATAACAATAGATGAAGAAAAAGAAAAGAAAAAAGAAGAAAGAAATCAATTTACAGCAAGATTGAAAGAAATACCAAAGAGAATTTTTGAACTAATTCTATTATGAGAACTCAAAACCAGAAAGACAATAACAGTATACATTCTATTAAACAGATAAGGAAGGCCAAAAAGTTATATAGTAGTGTTATTTAAAAGTCAAAAAGATATAAATATAACTACCAAAAAAAAGATTTGGTACAACAGAATCTCAATGTTCTGGGAGATTAAACCAAAAATATTAGATAAAGAATCTTATATAAATAACAGCAAGACACAAAAAAAAGAAAATAGAAGACTTCAACTCAGAAGAAGAGTATACAGATCCAAAAGAGTATATGAAAAAGAATAAATATAGTACAAGACTGAATAATAGAAAAAATAAACAAGAAAATGAAAACTACCAGAACAAAAGAAGTAAACAAAAAAATCTAGTAAGTACAGATCAAGGAAAAAAAATGCCAAGAAAAGAAATTAAAAATATAAAAAAAACACAAGAACAAACATCAGATATAAAGAATATATTAGGCCAAATACTAGAAAGACTAAAAAAATTGAAGATAGCTAGAGAAAAAACACAAAAGGCTTAACCAGACCACTTCTAAAGGCACTATAGTTAAATTAACAAGAACAAATAAGAAACTTGAGAATTTTTTGCAAAGAAAAAAAGAAGTTTTTGAAAAAATAATATTATTATCTTATCTAAAAGAAAAGGATTACAGAAAAGAAAAAGAAAAAGTAGTGAATATAGAACTATTGCAAAACCAATTAAAAGAAAAATGAAAAAAAAGATAAAAGTTGCATGGCACAATATTAATAAATTTAAAACCAAAGGTTAGAAACTTGAAAATCTGCTTAGCTAAGTAGAAGAAAATTTTTAGTACACAAAACAACAAAAAGATATATCAGTTATTGGAGTAGTGTAGCAAAAAATAAGAAAAAGGAATCAAATATAGAGATGTTAATAAAAGAACAATAGGCAAAACATGTAGACATGGTCAAGAAGATAAATGAGTATATAATAGAAATTACATTATACTTTAAGCAAATGAAATTAATAATAATAGAGGTCTATATATCACCAAATAACAAAGAAATAGAAAGAAATATTCAACAAAAAATAGTAGAAATTATTACAAAAAAAAATAGATAGACACAAATAGTAATTATGAAAAACTTTAACCACACAGTGAACAATATTCTAGATAGGCAGAACCTATAAGCTGCAAGCTACAAAAGATTAGTATTATTTAGTTAGATAAAAAGACAAAACTTTTACAATATATACAGAGAAATGCATCTAACTGAACAAAAATACACATGGTCAAACTTAGAAACAGTAACAAAAATTGACTATATATAGGTATCAGAAAGACTAGCTTCAGGTCTACAAAGAGCAGAAATTGAAGACATAAAAGAAATTACTGAAAGTGATCACAAGATAGTAATAGCTAAAATATAGATAAAATATATGATAGCAAAAAGTAGCAAGACAGAAGTCAAAAGAAAGAGCCAATCAAGAACAATATACTCTATAATAAGACAAAAGAGAAAAAGTGAAAAAGTTATATACAAAAGTTACAGAAGTGATTAGAGATAAAAAAAACTTTAAGAAATATACAAAAAGAAAAACAAAAAAAGAAAAAGAAAATACAAAAAATTAATAAAACATGGAATGTAATAAAAGAAGCAATTATAATAACAGCAAATAAATATATATTGAAAAAAAGGTTTACAATACAACATAAACAGAAAACACAGTCAAAAAGATCAACAACAAGGAAAAATCATCATAGAGCTTTAAAGACTAGTTAAGTATATAAAAACAAAAAGAAAATAGAAAGTAACAGAATTAAATAAAAGTGAAGTGAATAGAAACCTTAAAATGCTTAGCAAGAAAATTGCACAAGATTATCAAAAATCCAAAAACAATAGTCTGATGCTTGGATAGAGGATATAAAAGGCTGACAGAGAATTTTACAAGAGAAAAAAAAGAAAGAATATGAACAAAAATAAAAAAAACAAATAGAAGATAATATAAACAAAAAATATAAAATGATCAAAACTGATCAAGAAAAAATGATAGCTAGTTTTTTAAACAAGCTATACAAAAAAGTAATATTCGACAGAGTAATTGAACAAACAGAAGAAGAAACTAGACTAGTGATAGAAGCAGAACTAGTTAAAGAAACAACAGTAGAACAATATAAGAAGCAGTTTAGAAAAAGAAATACAAAATTAAAAGAGATGTAAGAAAACTAAAAAAAAAATTTATAAACTACAAAACTATATTAAAGAAAAATAATATAAAGAAATTGAAAAGAAAATTAAAAAAGAAGAATGCAATAAGATAATTAAAGAACTTAAAATAAGAACAGCCCTAGAAATATCAAAAATAAGTTATACTTTAATCAAATAAGTAAAGAGAAAAAGTCTAGAGGTTTTTAAAGTCTATGCAAACTTGTGCTTAGAGATAAGAGAAATACTAATAAAATAGAAAATAGAACAAGTATACTTAATACCAAAAGACATAGAATAAAGATACAGTTTGAACAATATTTGTCCAATAGCTCTAATTAAAACATTTAGAAAGGTGGTAACAAAATCAATAATGAAAAGACTTAGCAAAATATTTACAGAAAGAGAAATACTTAAAGGACTAAACTATATAGACCTACTAGAAAATTCAACAAAATAGCCAATACATGTTCTAAATATAATAATGAAAGAGACAAGAGAAAAGAATAAAGAGGTTTGGATACTCCTGCAAGATATGAAAAAGGTATTTAACTCAGTTTCACTTAAAAGTCTTAAGCTAGCTCTACAAAGAGTCAAAATATCCAAAATGACAATTAAATACATCTTAAATCTTTTTTATAAAAGACAGCTTAAAATAATTATAGCATATGATCTAATAAAAGAAATAACAGCAGGAGACAGAATAGATCAAAGTGAAGTAATATATCACTAATATGGTACATTTTCTATGATCTGCTATTAGAAAAAATACAGAAAGATAAAAGGTTAAGCTATATAATAGAACAAGAGGTTAAAGAAGGAATATACTGTAACAACATTACAAGCCATTGCCAAGTAGCAATTGTATATGCAGATGCTACAACATAGATTATGAAAAGCAATAAACAACTGTTAGAAATCTTAAAGATGGCAGAAGACTTATTCAAAATAAATAATATTAAGATAAATGAATCTAAATCAAAACCAATAATAATGAATAGAAAAGTTAAAAAAAAAAAAAGAGAAATAAATTTTGAAGAAAGCAAAATAACAGAAAAACCAAAAACAAGATAGTATATTCATTAGAAATCTGGCTAAACAACAGAATGTAAGAAGTTTTAGTAAAAAAAAAAAACAAAAATGATAATAAACTAAACAATAAGAGACCTTAAATATAAAAAAATGATAATGAGTCAGATAGCATATATAAACAATATAGTAATAATATCAAAATTAAGCTACATGTTGCAATTAATAAAGATATCAGAAAAAGGAATAAATAAAATATACCAACTAATAATATGTTTGGTAAAACAAAAAAGTGACTTACTAAGAATGCTAGAGAACTGTATAATAGAACACAAAGATTTTGGTAGTTACAGAACTTTGTAACAAGAACTAATAATAAAACAAATAGAAGGCTTGATAGCAAGACTAAACAGAAAAGATGAACTAGAGCAGCTAACAAAATTGAGAATAATGCAGAATTGATAAAGAGCAAGTTTAATAGAAGATATATAAAAAGTAGAAAAACTGCCAAAAGACAAGTTATGTTAGAAGAACAATTTAGTCTGTTTGATAATAGCTAAAGTAAAAAAGTTGAAAATAAATATAAACACAAAAAGTGAACTATGGACAACAAATAGTCATAGTTCCAGAATAATTGAACTAGTAAAATCATGACTGTAAAAAAGAAATAAATCCAAAATAAGTAAAGCTGAACTAATATATCTAAATCAGCTACTTGATATAAAAGAAGAAAGA